CTCCAGTCCCCTAATCATCTTGGTTGCTCTTCTCTGCACTCTTTCTAGAGTCTCAACATCTTTTTCACATCGTGGAGACCAAAACTGGATGCAGTATTCCAAGTGAGGCCCTACCAAGGCCTTATAAAGTGGTATTAACACTTCATCTGATCTTGATGCAGCCTAGAACTGCATTGGCTTTTTTGGCTGGATCATATTTAAGTGATTTGCCACTAGGACCTCAAGGTCCCTCTCACAGTTACACCTGTTGAGCGAAGTACCACCTACACTTTACCTGTGCATTTTGTTTTTCTTGCCTAAATGTAGAACCTGATTTTTTTCACTCCTGAATTTCATTTTGTTCAATACAGCCCAATGTTCACAAGGATACTATTAAAAGGGTGTCATTAAAATAATATTTCCCTGAGGAGTTGCCAATTGTGGCCCCTGGAAGTCTTGTGCATTGCCACCAGCTGTGTGCTGGGACTGCTGCTTCTACCCCAAAGGTCTCTGTGGAGTGTGCCTTGCTCAGACAACCCCAAATGTGGACCACTGTCAGTAGGGGGAATGTGGCTTGTGCCCACATCCTGCATCTCCTCACAGAGTCAACCATCAGCTTTTGTCTCCTCCAGATGTTTCTCCTCTCTTGCAGGGCAGCAAAAGCGTCAGCAATTGCTGGACCCAAGCATGGCCTTGGAAGAGGACACCGTAGAGATTCCAGCCCTGGGCCGCCCTTTCCAGCTGGGGACTTTGTACGACTGTCGCAAGGATGCCCTCATTGCAGGTAGGAGCCAGAGGAGAGGCTGAGGGGTGGCAGAAAACCTGGGAGGGAGGGAGATGGGCACTGCCATCAATGTGCAGGCTTAGCCCAGGGACACTTGAGATCTGGCATCCTGAACACGCGGCCTGCTAATCCCAGGTAGCTGAGTAGGGTCTTCTGCCTGGGGATGTGTATCCAGCCCTTGGCCTGCCATGCAGCACAGCTCGCTCTGTGTACCAAACACGGGGTGAGTTTCCACACCAAAGTCACTGAAATGCTGTGGAAAATGACGAAACCTCTCTACTCAGTCAAAAGCCTTTCGGGTTTTTTTGCAGTACTTTGCAAAACAGGCAAGAGGTTCCTGGGGTGGACAGAACAGATGAGGTTATCCTCTGGGAGAAACGATGGTCCCTTGTCCGAGCTCTTTGGGGCTTCTCTGTCCAGCTGCAAGTCTTTTAGAGGTCAGGTTTCACATTTACCTTCATGTCGTCTCCTGTTCCATGCAGGGGTCACCCTTTGGCTCTCTTGGACCTGATGCGGCTGGTGGGTCTGTGGAGGAAAGGAACGAGGGTGGGAGGGAAACAGGCACTGCCGTCAATGCGCACGCTCAGCCCAGGGATAGAGTTGAGCTCTGGGGTAAATGGCCCGCAAGTAGCAGCTAGATAAGTAGTACCTTCTCGCTGAGAATATGTATCCAACCCTTCTCGAAGGATGCAGCAGGATTGACACTGATTACCAATCATCATCATCATCATCATCATCATCATCATCATTACCTTTATTGTCAGAGTAAAATATGTGTACAATGAGATTGGCTGAGCCTCCCTTCGTGCACCCCCAAACACACACACACAACTCAGAGTGAGGACAGAAGTCCCTAACCCAGTCCCAATCTCATTACACTACTTGACCTTGTTGCACAATGCACCGGCCTTGCAAGTCTATCCTGCTATGTTGACATGAAGTTATTTTCCTTTCAGGAGTCTGACAGCCATGGGTAGAAACTGTTCTTCAGCCTGTTGGTGTGGCTGGCTGTTTCTTGATCTCCTACTCGATGGCAGGAGACTGAAGAAGGGCTGACAGGGATGTGAGTCATCCCTGAGGATTTTCCTCACTCTTCTTTTTTTTTAAAAAAAATTGTTTGAGTTTTCACAAAATTATTTGGGTTTTCACAAAAAAACCATAATACAAATAAAACATCTTTTTTTGAAAATAGCATGGTCCCGGGTTATCACTTCTTCATACAGACACAAACTCAATTTCATATTCATCTTTGTGTTCTATTCCGTATCTTATTACTATTTTAACATTTTCTCCATAATTTTTCCCCTCCCTTGGTTTTCTCAACTTTATTTTGATTATCTCATCTCAGTTCAAATCATTATATTTATACATTTGTCTGTCCTCTTTCAATTTCATATTATCTTTTCTCATTAAACAAATTTCCCCCTGTAGTTACTAATTGGAGTATGACACCTTTATATCTTTTAATTTTATCCATTCAACTCTTATTTTAGCTTCCATTTATACCTTTAAGATTATAACATTCAATATAATACATAACTTCCCATCGAATTCTGCTTAGTACATTCTTAAAATACAGACTATATTCGTGTGTGTGTGTGTGTGTTTGTGTGTGTGTGTAAATAAAGCACTCATTCCATTCCAATTCAATTCTATCATTAATATTCATTAAAATCTTAACATCTTTAACATTTATTTTCAATTGAATATCATACTTCTTTGTGAACACTTATAAACTTTCCATAATTAATTCTCTTTTTTTTCCATATTACTCTTCACTTATACTTTTATACATCATTAATAATAATTAAAATGTTTCCATCCTTTCCTAATTTAATTCTCTCATTCACTTTAATTCATTTATTTATTAACAAACATTCCACTACATTACCATCATTTTAGTCATATTTTCTAAAATTATTTCTATTTGTAATGTAACAATGCTATCTTATGTACCTTTCCAGAATCCCTTTTACAATTAAATTTTCACCCATTATCTCTAAACAGGCTTATACTTTAATTCCTTATATCTTTTCCCTGTTTCTCTATATCTTGTTTCTGTCTTTTATAACTTCTTTTCCTTTCCTTCTTCCCCCTCTTCTTCTTCCTCCCCTTTTTACCCCCTTGTCTCTCTACTTCTAATTCTCTCTTCTGTAATCCCCGCTTCTGTTGCTTTCTAATATTATACTTATTTTTAGAACTATTCTTTTTTTTCTAATTTTAAACCTTTCACTCTCTTTCCCCCCTTTCCTCCCCCCCCACATAAAATTATTTGATCATTAAAGATGGCTTCTTCTTTGTCCCGATCTTCTTGTTCTGCAAGCGTTTCTTGTTGTTTCTCATAGTTCCAGATCTCCATTTCTAAGAATTGAAATACAAAGCCAAAAGAACCTCTCCCTTCTTGTGCATCTTCATTCCGTTTTTTAAGTTCCATATTCAGTTCTTCTAAGAGTGATGCCATTTTAAACACTTTTAAACAACCACCCAATTGATTTTAGTCATTTAATTGCAAAATCCAAAAATCGCCAAGTAATCCAAATAATCCAAGGCTGTTTCTTCTTGCTTCTTTTTTCCACTTTCTCTTCCTGGGGTTCTATTATTTTGTCCAAGTTTCAGTTAAAATGTATCTTTTAGGAATCTTGTTGAGGTTTCACTGTAAATTCCTTTTAGTTCCAGGCAGTCTCCTCCATTTTTCCAGATCCTGCCCTTTTATTCTTTTTCTCTCCTTTCCTGCTTTTAAAAACTTTTAAGTATCCAGAAATCTTTATTATCCCTTTGACATTTTATTTTCAGCTTAAATGCCTATTAATGTCAAAGTGGATTTTTTTTCAATTTCTTGCTTAAGTCTCTTAGCTGTCAGTATAAGGAAGGGAAGAAAAAAACCCAAATCCTTTCCCTTCCCTCTCTCCGCTGCTTCAAAATCTTCTTTGGGAACAATGTTGTTTTTTATAGTTTAAATTCCAGGGTACCTTACATTGTTGCTTTTTCAGTTTAACCTGGTCAACCAAAACTTTCTCTTCTTATCTTCCTCCTGCACATTCTTTTCCGGTCGAGTTCTTCTTTGAGGTGGCCATTTCTGACCACCGCTGCAACCTCCTTCAGGAAAGTGAGTAATGGCCAGCTGGGGAGGAGATATGTGGCTCTCCTCAACCCTGCTGGCAGTCTCCCCCCTCTTCACCACCTCTACGGGGTGGCTTAGCCCCGAAACCAGCTGGCTCGGGGCTCTCCGGGGGCGAGCACGGATCGAAACCGTGCACGATCGCGGACTTCGGTCCGTCGCCGAAGGAACTCAAACCGGAAGTCCCGGATTTTCCTCACTCTTCTAAGGCAGCCAGCCCTAGCGAGGTTATCTAGTGGTGTCAGGGCAGATTTCCTCCCAGAAGCAAAGTCACTGAAGTGGTTTGGGAAAAGGCTAATAAAAGGAGTGTAAGGTCCCCCAGAATAGTGAATTCAGGGCTAGAAGTCTGAACTCATGGTGCGGGTGACTCTGAACCCTTCATGAAAAACATGGTTTCTCCAGGTAGTTGGAGATCATTCTTGAAATCAATAGATGCATAGCAATTCCCATTCCACTCTATTCAGTCAAAAGCAGTTCAGAGTATTGCCGTGTTTTGCAAAACTGGCAGGAGGTTTCTCTGGTGATAATTGGACAGAATAAAGGAGGGAGCCCTCCAGGGGGAAGATGTCTCTATTGTCCCACTTCTCTGAAGCTCCTCTGCCCAGCTGCAGGTGTTTTGGAAGACGGTGTTCAATTCATGTTGCTGTTTTCTTCTGTTCCATGCAGGCCTCACCCTTTGGGATTGCAACTCTCTTCAGAAGGACCTGACCATCAAGCCTCAGCCCAAGACAGCAACTGAAATCATTGCATCTGACAGCATAGATGACAAGGCCTCCGCCCTGGATGTCTCAGGACCCATTAAGACCAGTTTCCTGGGGGGCCTGATTGATGTGAGAGGGTCAGCAGAGTATCTTCACGACACCAAGAAGTCCAAGCAGCAGGCCAGAGTCACCGTTCAGTACAAAACCACCACCAAGTATGAACAGCTGACAATGAGCCACCTAGGAAGGCAGAATGTCTCTTACCCAGAGGTCTTTGAGCATGGCACAGCCACCCACGTGGTCACCGCCATCCTCTATGGAGCTCAGGCTTTCTTTGTCTTTGACCAAGAAGTTTCTTCAACGGAGACGGTGAAAGATATAGAAGGAAGTCTCCACGCTACCCTCAGGAAGGAAATATCTATCGGAGGAGACGTAAAGGTCAGACTGACTGAGGAGGAGAAAGAGAATGCTCTGAAGTTCAGATGCAAGTTCCACGGAGACTTTTCTTTGCAGAAAAATCCAGTGACCTTCCAAGATGCCATAAAAGTTTATGAAACTCTCCCAAAAATGTTAGGGAAAGATGGAAGGAAGGCTGTGCCTGTGCAGGTCTGGCTCTACCCTCTGACCAAGCTGGACACCAGAGCAGCCAAGGTGGTCCGTGAGATCAGCCTAGGATTGATCTTTGATGCTAAAAAGATCTTGGAGGATCTCAATGAAATCCAGATGCAAAGCAATGATCTAACCAATGATCCCATTGCTGAGACCTTCCCTGAGATCAAGAGGAAGATCCAGCAGTTCAAGGATCTGTGCAAGCAATATAAGCAGACTTTCCAGAAAGAGCTGGCTAGAGTGTTGCCTTCCATCCGGGCAGGAGGACAGGAGGAAGGGACCCTGGTGGACCTCTTGATATCCGTCAAGCAATCTCCCTTCAACAGCCAAAGACTCTGTGAATTTTTGGACACCAAGAGAAGAGAAATTAATCATGTTACCTGTTATTTATCTATTCTAAATAATATACAAGTTATCTCAACTCAGAACAAACTGGAAAAAATGGTTCTGGACCCCCAGAATGTACATGTGGTCTCCTTCATATTTACTTCTTTACATGAAGAGGAGCCATTTCTGTTGAGTTTACAAGATTGGCTTCAGAAACAATTCTTGCCAGAATCAGCTAAGTCCACAAAGTCCCTCACTGAGGTCAAGAAAGGCCTGGCCTGGTTTGAAGACAAGGAGAGGACTCGCAATGCCCGCCAAGCTGCACAATCCATTCAAGACTTTTTCAGTTTCAACAAATCCAGTGAGAAAGTCCGCTTTGTTGTGGCTTCACTCCCAGATATGGATAACCTGGGAGCTTCAATATACTTTTTTGAAAATGGAGAGCTGGTCAGCAAGAACTTTGAGTTGCCCTCAAAACCTCTCCCTTTCCTGATCAGTGAAGTGAGACACAACAGCATTCAGCTGAAGTTTCAGCCAGCTGAATATGGAAAGGCTGCTATCTCCAGCTACCTGGTAGAGTAGAAGGTTGCAGGGGAAGAAAACTGGAAGACCGTGAGGACAGAAGACACCAGAGAGACATTCTTGCTGAAAGATCTTCTCCCAAACACAGAGTACCTGTTCCAGTATGCTGCTTGTTGCAAGCCAGGCCTTAGAAAAACCAGTGAGCTGAGCCCACCCATAAAGTCTCTTCCCACCAGCCCTCCTGAAAAATTAAGAATGGTCACTGTAGCATCTTCTGTCATCTCTGTGGCCTGGATGAATCCCAACATTGTGGCCTCAGGAGTTGTGGTCAAGGAGTACAAGGTGGAGTACAGAACGGTGGAGGCTGGAATTGGGAAGGACCAATGGACTGAAAAAAGGACTGGGAGAAAAACAGAATTTTATTCCATTGAAGGTCTGAAGCCTCAGACAGTGTACAGAATAAGGGTGTTGGCTGTGTGTGATAATGGAGCTCTGGGTGTCCCCAGTGAGGAGCTGGAGGTCTCCACATCACTGGAGGAGGAGGATGGAGGAAACGTAGCTCACCAGTTCCTTCAGAACAGATCCCTGGTGGAGGACAGACAGCCATTAGTGTTCTCCCTTCCTCTGGAGAAAGTCCCCTCAGATGCCTCCACCTCCTGTCTCATGTACCAGCTTGGAAAGGAGAACCTGGAAGTGCCCAACAAAGTGATCCTGGTGATGGGAGCAACAGGATGTGGAAAAACCACTCTGATCAACGGGATGATCAATTACATCTTGGGTGTCCAATGGGAAAATAATTTCAGATTCAAACTCATTCATGAAACCACCCAGAGAAGCGAAGGTGGAAGCAGGACGTCGGAAGTCACAGCGTACGTGGTGAACCATCAGAAGGGTTTCCGAATTCCCCATTCTCTCACCATCATTGACACACCAGGATTTGGAGGCACAAGAGATGCAGAGCAAGACAAACTGGTTGAGGAGAAGCTTCTGGAGTTTTTCTCCACCCCAGGGGGCATTGACCACGTGGATGCCATCTGCTTGGTGGCCCAGGCCTTCCTTGCCCATTCAACTCATGCCCAGAAATGTGTCTTTGATTCCATGCTCTCCATGTTGGGAAAAGATCTGAATGACAACATCCGGTTCCTGATCACCTTTGTGGATGGGGGGACCCCACCTGTCCTGGAGGCCCTCAAGGAGGCTGACCTGCCATGTGCTCAGGACGAGTTGGGAATCCCTCAGCACTTCAGATTCAACCATTCAGCCCTCTTTGCTCCCCGAGAAAACAGAGGAAGCCCTAATGCTGCTGCTAAAATGTTCTGGAAAATGAGCAGTGAGAGCATGAAGGATTTCTTTGACTCATTAAAGATGCTGGAAACCAAAAGTTTAACCTTGACCCTGGAGGTCCTCAAGGAACGTCAGGAGCTAGGAGCTGCTCTTAGAAGACCTCCCCCTCCTAAGATTGAACATGTGCACCCAAATAGTTTCCAGATCAGTATTGATCCAGTAGCCATTGAGAAGCCTTCTATCTCTGGGTACCAGGTGGAATATCAGATTGCAGAAGAGGAGAATTGGATAAGTCTTCAACAAGAAGGCCAGAAGGATCAATTCACCCTGGAAGATGTCCACCTAAATCTTCAGTACCAATTCCGATGTGCAGCTGTGACTCCAGGAGGGCTTGGTCAATGGAGTGAAGTGATTACTTGCATGCGTCCTACAAGGAGACCTGTTGAGGTAACTAACTGGAGGGGGAGGGGGAGGAGGAGACTAGAATATTCTGACACCTCCTGCAGGGTTCCTCCTTGGGAACCTCTGCCCCCTCCCCCAACTCCAGAGTCTAAAGCTTCCTGAAATTTGGGTCAGCAGAGAGACTCCCAGAATCTCTGCTTGTCTGGTTGAGAGGAAGGTTTGCAAAGTGAGTCAGCCATGACACATAAGGCCATGGGTGATGAGCGGGAAAGATAGGTCTACGAGCTCAGGGTGCCATTTTGGAGAATGGAGGGAGCTACTACATGTATGTGGTCCATCCTGTGGGATGTCATAGATGGGAACGGGGCTGAGCAGGAGCACCACCCAGGGGGAAGCTGGTATAGGGGGCCAGGTCTGATTCCAGGGAGCTACGTTGGGGGTGGAGAAGAGTCTGAGCTGCTCAGGTCTGGCAAGGTTGTCTTTCGGGGTCTCCCTGAGTATCTGTTTCACAAAGCCTCAATTGTGGAAGAGACGGCTTGGGCCAGCCCACACACTCCCGCCCTGGGATGTCCGGCTGAGCATCCCCAGAGGAGAAACCCCAACAGAGCCTCACTTGGGGCCCACTGGCTAGAGGGACAAAGGGGAGAAGGGGGAGCTGGACAGCCTCTTACACAAAGCAGGGAGAAGGCATGTGGCGGGGGGGGAGACATAGGGGCAGGGGGTTATTTTGCCTCTCCCTTCAAGAGGAGGATGCTTTCAAGGGTCTCTGCTCTGGAGTGTGGAACTCAGATGGAAGAAATAACCATGTCCTCCATCCTTAAATCAGCCAGTGGGGAAGCCCAAAGTTCAAGGCTCCTTCCACAGGTTTACCAGGAATTGAGGTGACCTTCCCAAAATGGGTGCAGATGGGGCCTTGCACGCACTCCCCACTCGTGGGAAAGGGCCGTGGGGAGCTGCCAGCCACTTTGGGCATCAACCCCCATCATTCCTGACACCCCCAAAGCGCAGGCTCCCAAGAATTGAAGGGCTGCATAAAAAGTGGGGAAAGGACCAGATGGGCCAGTCTCAAGGGCAGTGAGGAGCGGGTGGCCCTTCTTTACCCCCACTCCAATTCCTTCCGAGGGAAAGGAGTTCCTGCACTCCTTTGGCTGACTCTGTTTTGCTTTTCACCCAGAAGTCCCAGGTTTCATGTGGCGCGACTGGTGTGGAAATCACTGAAATCATCCCAGGTAAAGTCTTAGTCCCTGGGGTTGGGTGGAGGGTGGAGGGTGTGGAAGTTACTGTCCTGGGTGGAGGGACAGGCTATGGTGGCCATATGCTGTTGACCAGTCCCCTTCTTCTCTCCTCTCCCCTTTGGGTTGCAGGGCCTGAACGGAGGATCGTCCTGGTGGGCAGAAACTTAAGTGGGAAAAGTTCAACGGGAAACACAATCCTGGGAAGGGAAGTCTTTGAGGTTAAATGGTCAGGAACACAAGCATGCCAAAAGGAGGAGGCGCAGCTGAAGGGCAGGAAGATTGTGGTTGTTGATACGCCTGGCATTTTCCATACCGATCGTCCAGGCGGGGATATTGCTGCAGAAGTGAGCAAATGCGTGAAGTTTTGCTCCCCGGGTCCCCACGTCATTTTGCATGTGATGCATCCTTTTCGTTCGCCCCAGAAGGAGACGAACGTGATTCAGCTAATCAAAGAGATTTTTGGCCTTAAAGCCAAGAATTACACGATCATCTTGTTCTCCCACAAACATGACCTGAAAGCTCAATCTCTAGAAAATTTAATATCTTCCAGAGATAAAAAAGTGAAGAAATATATTGCTGAATGTGGGAACCGGTGCCTGGCTTTCAACAACAAGGCCGAAGGAGCAGAACAAGAGGCTCAGGTGGGTGAACTGATGACCATGATTGATGATCTGGTGGAAACGAACAGAAATGCTCCTTGTTACACAGAAGACATGATGAACTCCAAGTAAAAACACGACTTCTGGTTGTTTCCTTTTCCATCAGAGAGACCGGAAAGTCTCTCTAATTCAGCCTCTTCTGCTCCCAAGGTGGCAACTCTGCCAAAGGCGATTCTCAAGCTTCCAAAGGCATTTTTGCCATTGCAACTATTATCGCTTTTCTGCTTCCAATGAATTCTGGGGGGATTGAAGGGGGAGATAGAACTTGGGTTTCAGATGCCAGCCGTGAGTATCTATAGATTCTTTTAATGACTTTATGTAAGGAATGCTCTACTCCTAGTATGGGAAAAGGTTAAAGCCAAAAACTATATGAAAATACCAGTCTGGCTTTCAACAATGGAAGCACTGATACATCCAAATGTGATAAACTTTGGAAAAATAACATATAAAGATATTTTAAATGAGAAAGGGAAATTTAAAACTAAGCAGGAATAGCCAAATCAAGGGGTCAATCTCGTACGGTGGCCACGCTGGCAAATACAATCAAGAGGTGAAAAAGATGTAAAGAAATATGGTTTCTATAAAGACCCAACGATACTTGGTCAGATACTATGAGGTGGGGATGAAAAGTTAATAAAGAAAATATACAGCTATTTATGAAGCCTTAAAATGGAAGATGAAGAAGTGAAAGAAACAATGATAATCTGGGAAATTTTTTTTGGGTATACTATAGAATTGGATAAATGGCAAAAACTTTGTGATAGAAATTATAAATTGACAAGAGCAACTACGTACAGGGAAAACCTGTATAAAATGTTCTACAGGTGGCATTTGCCTCCAGCAAGGCTAGCAAAGATGTTTCAAAACATGTCCACCAAATGTTGGAAATGCAACCAGATACCTGGTTCGTATTACCATATGTGGTGGACCTACCCAAAGGCAAAAATAATTGTGGATGAAAATACATTCTATAAGATCATAGTTGCCTTTTTTGAAGTTATAATTGGGGATCACGTGATAATTTTTGTACGGACGTATGTTGAGACAAAAGTCAATTATGTTGTAGTCACTGTTGGAAAAGGGTTCTTTAATTTGTATTCTGTAAATTGAGTTCAAACTATTGCAGAAGATGAGATCGAGGCAGTTGTTAAGTCTAGTATTGTTGGTTACTAGTTGTTCCACTCCTAGATTTGTTACATCATTGTAGAAGGTTGCATGTATGGGTTACCGTTCAGAGTTTCAACGGCCCTGAAAAAAGTCTCTTGCGACCCATTTTCAGTGACGATGTTTGCCTCATCACCCGCGGTCATGCCACTGAAATATGGACACTTGGCCACTGACTCATATTTACAACAGTCGCGGCATCCCAGGGGTTCACGCCATCCCCTTTACAAACCTTCTGATGAGCCAGATTCACTTAACAATCATGTTACTAATTTAAAAACCGCAGGGATTCCCTTCACAAACGTGGCGAGAAAAATCTTAAATGAGGTGGAGGAAAATCGCTCCACATGTGTCTCACTGAATGACAAAAATGTTGGGCTCTGTGGCAGTCATATGTTGAGGACTATCTCTATTCGGGGAGGGGGAAAGTCTTTCTCCAGGGTGCAGAAATCAAGGGGTGGGTAGATGGGGGGATGATTGTATCAGAAATCAACAAACAAGCAATAAAAGAATTTGGTGTGCAACGAAAGCTTTGTTTTATGATTATAGACTAGGAGTTGGCAACCTTAAACCCTCAAAGAGCCAAAAAAGGTCCTAACTGGAAGCCCCCCATTCAATTCTGGAGCTGACCGGAAGTCCGGTTTCCCTCACCATAGAGTATCCTCCTAGCACGTAGTCCTTTTTCCTCTACCTCTCCCAACCAAAAGCCCAATTATCAATTGTGGAGCTGACTGGCGACAGGGAGCCACATCAGAGGAAAGAGCCACATGTGGCTCCAGAGCTGCAGGTTGCCAACCACTGTTGTTAGATAGACACCTCCCTCACCGTAGTTTGCCTCTGCTCCTCTCCCACCCAGTTTTGGGTCTTTCTGGACACTTTGCAGCTTTAATCGGAGAGTTTGGAAGGCAACCCTAATTAGCTAGATCTGGTTTTATCCTCATCTTTGCCGATATGATGTACTCAAGAAAGTTTTGCGTTAAGATATTGGATCGTCTCAACCGTGTTTGCTTTAGTTGGGTTCGTCAGTCGGAACGTTGAGCCCTTCTGTTCTGGGTTCCAATCCAGCCCTCGCCAAGTGACCTCTGAAGAACCTGAGTCAGAGATCTATGACTGAGTCTCCCTGAGACAATTCTTTCTCTTAGAGAACCTGGTTTCTCCCCTCAGATGACGAGACTTCAAGTAAATGTGAAAATCCAGCCCCTCCCCAGTATCAACCGGCCCCATAGCCTAATTCTCTCCCGTCCTGGACCCATGTCCCTTCGGAAGCACAGACTCTTGGTGGGGTTCCCATCTGTCAATCCTTTGAGGTACCTCAGTCTGGGAATCCACCAACACAAGAAATATTAGAACTCGAGTTTCCTGATATGGATTAAAGTACCAGAATCTTGAAAGCGTCTCCCTTTCGCTCCCTCTGGCACCAAAGAGCATCAAGGAAGGACAACCCTGAGGTTCTTTCTCACCCCTTCCCGTTTTCCTGGGGTGAATCCGTGTTTTCTAAACAGCTACCACTTATTATTTGCAAGACTGTTTCTGTACTGCTCAACACCACCTTCCGTTGTCCAACGTGGACTCATTGGAGAGAGCATTTCTCTTTCCACCAAAGGACCTCTTGTTAAATCTCCTCCTTCTTGCAAAAGAGGCTGTCTTTTTTGGGACGGTTGGGGGAAACTGGGGAGTTTGGTCCACTCAGCTGAATTGATTCCAGACAATGATGCAGTCACAAGGCAGAAGAGAGGGGGGGCATTGCCCTGACTTCCTGGAGGAGGGGGACAGAGAAGGAGTAGAATATACTCGAGGGACGAGTCAGAGTGCAGGGTCTCCCCGAAACCTTTTCACACTGGGTCCTTCTTGGTGGAAATCAAGCTCCTGCTGGGTCCTTCCCATCTCCTTAGTGTCCTTCAGCTCCATACCACATGCTTCTTCTCCACCCTCCCCTTTGGGGTCAGCTTTGTCCCACAGACACAACTGAAAATCAGTGCTTTTTTTTTTTTTTTTTTTTTAACAATTTTTAAAAATTTTACAGTGTGTGGGTTGGCACATATCTCTTGTGCACAATAATAAGAGTCATTCCATCCTATTTTTATGTTACAATTCATATCATATATAACTACAATCCATTTAATGTTGTATTATTATCAAATCATTATAAGACTGTTATTACCAATTCATCTCATTTTTTTCAAGGAGAATTCAACTATTGTAAAACCTAATTTATAATATCATTCATTTCCATGCAATCAAGCATAAGATATATTATAATAATAGCTTACAGCATATATTTGTATTATTTTATCATAACTGTTATATTATATTTCTATTATATTATACTGTATTTTTCTCTATTTCTTCTCTAACCATGAATAAAAGAGATCCCATATTTTATAATATTCTTTTTCTTCTTGGTCTCTAATGGCAAATGTCGATCTATTCATTTCTGCACATTCCATTATTTTCTTTATCACTTCCTCCTCTATTGGAGCTTTTTCATTCTTCCAGTTTTGCACAAATACTATTCTAGCTGCTGTCATAATATTAACAATCAAATATGTCAATTCTTTACTGTATCCTTCAGGCAAGATACCCAATACAAATATCTCTGGTTTCAAGTCTATATGCTGTTTTGTCATTTTTTCCCCAACCATTTTAAAATCAGGGCTATTTTTGGCAGCATTACCGGAACCTGCAAACCTCAGTTGTCTTGGAGAGACCCTCGAAGTCCGAGGTCCACCTCTGGACCCCTCCCCTCAGACCAATTTGGGGAGCCCAGAGGGATAACTATGGGGTGGAGAGTGGGGAGGGTGTCTGACCTAAAGAAGAGAAGATGGGGGGCAGTGGTGGGAGGAAGAGCCGCCTCCTTCCAGAAGACCCCAACTCTTCTTCCTTTTGGAAAAGGGGTGCAAATTTCAGGAAGGCAGATTCTGGGGGAACATCAGCCAAATTCCCTATGAGCAGAAGCAGCTCTGCAGAGCAACGGGGTGGGGTGGGGAGGGGTGTCTCCAAACTCGGCAATTTTAAAACTTGGGGACTTCAACTCTCAGAATTCCTCAGGTAAAATAGCAGGCTATGGACTTCTGTGAGTCGAAGTCCATAAATCTTAAAGTTTGGGAACATCTGCACAAAGGAGTGGAGGACCAAGAGAAGGTCTTTGCTGCCCTCTGCTGGACGGTTGTGGAACTCATTGCTCAAACACATTTCCTGTTTCCTTTCTTGCAAAGTAACCTGACAAAGTAAATGTGACTAATTAGGAAGTCGGCTTCAAAAGAGGAGGGGAAAGTCGTTTTCTTCTTGGTCCTTCAACTTTTGTTTTCTGAACGCACCGAAGACAAAGCAGAAGGCCAGGTTTTCCTTAAAAGAGATCCAGCAGGGAAGCAGATCCACCTGGCAGTGCGGATTCCCAATTCTTTCCAACCAGGTGGGCCCCCTCCAGAAGCACTGAGACCCCCTCCCCCCAATTGGTATTTCATGGGGCAGCGGGGTGGGGCGGGGCGAGAGCAGGGCTCCTCCTGGGCATTGGGGGAGAGCAAGCCAAGGAGGGGAAAGCAAGCCAGGTGTGCAGCAAGGGTGGCAGAGAAGCACCTGGGTTGTTGGGCGGGGGGAGCAGAGATTCCAGGTAATTTGGGGAGGGGGGGATTGCTCCTTTTCTGCTGAGTTCTGTCCAGGCAGCCAAAGAAAGAAAGAGCTACAACTTGAGTGCAGGGAGGGGACACCTTTGTCCTACCAACCTCCCCCTCAATCGTGGCTCTCTTCCCTCCCGGAAGGTTTTTCCATCCCTTGTTTCTTGTCTTACCTTCTGGTGCTTTGGAGAATAGCTCGGCTCTCTCTTCTTTCTGGCAGCCCCTGAGATAGTGGAACACTGCTACCATGTCTCCCCCAGTCCTTCTTTTCATCAGACTAGACATGCCCGGTTCCAGCAACAGCTCTTCATGTTTTGTAAAATTTATTTAAAAAAATATTATTAAACAAATTCTACAATTAAAAACTATTAAAAACATATTTCCATTCATTGCAGCATATTTGTAGTCGTGTTCACTCCCTTTGACATATTCTTAGTGTTGTGACTGGAAGGATCGATCCTGCTGGGAGTTTTGACTCTGATGACTCTGAAGATGGGAGGCTGGAGCCTGCTGTGAATGTGGAGTCTGAATTATTAGAAGACACAGATGTGAGCCAGGGGGATGAGAGTTTGTCACAGAGACAGTCCTCCCCAGAACCTTCGACCTCATTCATGCCAGCAACTGATCCACAAAATGAGTCAGAGGCTTAGAGTAGGGAAGCTGACAGATCGTGGCTTGACGCCAGAACTAGGAGGAGACTGAAACGTCAAGCTGAGGGGAGGCGTCAAGCCAGACATTGATTAGGGAGATTGACACGCCAATCCAGGTGATTTAAGGAGGCGTGATGATTCTCAAACTTTGCTTGGAAGCAAAGTGTTTGATGTGTGGAAAGGATAGTGGGGAGCGGCCTTTGTAAATTATGGACATTCTGAATTACCAGACAGATTCCGGGAAGTCTGCCAAGGACTGGAATATAGCATTATTAACCCTTTTGTAGTCTGCTTCTGTTTTGTTTGAATGTTTGGAACTGTGGAACTTTGTATTCTCACTTGTGAATATAGGTGAGACATAACACTTAGGTATGTAGAATATTACTAAATTTTATTACAATTGTTTTACACTTGATTTATGTTTTCATATATTCACATAGTGATTTCCATATTTATACATAAGTATACCTAGTTATGCCTATTCATATCAAATTATTTCATCACACCATAAGCTTTCATTTCATCTCTCTATTTTGTGTCCACCGTGTAGCCAATTATACCATAAATTCCCAATTTCTTACTACTCTTGTCTCTTCTCTCTCCTTCATTTCCATTGAAAGCCTATCCATTTCTGCACACTCTAAAAACCTTTTTAATTATCATAATATCGGAGGGAATGCTGTCACTTTCCCAATTCTGACAACAGGCTATTCTTGCAGCAGTTATTATATGTAATATAATATATTGGAGTTTCTGACTTATTTTATCTCTTAATATATCCAATAGAGAATGTCTCTGGTCTCAGTTGAATTCTCTGTTTTGTAATTTCCTCCCGCCATTTCCCAATTTTAAACCAATCATTTTTAGTTTGAGGGCATGTCCACCACATATGGAAATAGGCAGGGGTGGAATTCAACTTTCTTAACAACCAGTTCTGTGGGCGTGGCCTAATTTGTGGGTGCGGCTTGGTGGTCATGTGACTGGGGTGGGCGTGGCCATGTGGCTGGCAACCCAAATTTAAGTGGTCCTCATTTAACAACCAGTCCTCATTTAGTGGCCAATTGCTTAGTAAGTGCTTTTTGCCAGTTTCCAAGGCCTGGGAAGGTCCAGGCAAGACCCGGGCAGGTGGCCATGTTGCTGGCAACCCAC